CCACCCTACACTCATACTTTAAGTGTAACTCATTTGCCTTAAAAAAGAGACAAAGTACTCAGTTAAAGAAGCTAAAGATGAATTTGAATTTCTCATAATTTCTGCTGTATTTCAGATTATCACTGTACTATTGGTATCGTCTGTTCTTTTGCTCATGTTAGTAAAAATGTTTGTTGCAAATGCAAAAATAAGTTTATGCAGATTAAGTCTTAAGACGTTTTATTATAGAGTTGACAACTATCTCCATTCAAAACTGAACTCAGAACTCTTTTCTTTGTCATTCATGACTCATCAAGTCAACAGGAACCAATCCATTTTCCATTATTTTTCCTTCTACGTCATGTTGCTCCAGGTCTCTGAGCTACGGCGCCATCGGAGTGATCGTCGGACACGAGTTGACGCACGGCTTTGACAATAACGGTAAAAGCCGCCGACCTATAGTGACCTCAGAACAGAACCAGGTGGGAGGTTTCTAATTGTTCGTGTGTCTTCTGAACAGGTCGCAAGTACGACAAGAACGGCAACCTGGACTACTGGTGGAGCAACTCGTCTGTGACGGCCTTCACCGAGAAGACGCAGTGCATGATCGACCAGTACAACGGGTACCACTGGGATGAGGCCGGGCTCAATGTAGGGAACAGAACCGGCAGAACTTACAGCATGATGATCGGATGAAAACTCTCGTGCATGTTTCCAGGATTGTTGTCACTTGGTGAGGAAGTCAGATGTGAATGTTTTGCTCCGTAGGTTCGCGGTAAGAGGACTCTGGCTGAGAACATCGCAGACAACGGAGGACTGAGGGAAGCATTCAGGGTACGATCCAGGACAGAGCTTTCAACTGAGGAGCTGCGTGTAGCTCAACAACTCAGAATGATGTTGTTTGGTGTGAAAGGACTGTTTGTAAAGATTTACCAGAGACAGTCCAGGTAAGGAAACCTTCCTCTCTGTGTGTCTGTGTAGGCGTACAGGCGGTGGGTGGACGGGAGCAGAGGCGGCGTGGAGGAGCCTCTGCTGCCTGGAGTGGAGCTCAACAACAACCAGCTGTTCTTCCTGAGCTACGCACATGTAAGGAAACACACATACATACTGTTTATTACTCTGCTGTCGATGTGATGATCGTGCCACTATGAGCATTTCAGTTATTTCTGGAGATGCTGGCATTTCGCCAGAGTAGCTGTTTCGTTAACTGATGTTAGTGTTGATTTATGAATGAAAAATAGTCACATTGAGGTTGAGTTCAGACGGTTTTAGTTAAGAAAAGTCTGAATCCCAAGCAGCTTCTGGGTATTTTATTTGCTTCTGTCACATTTTTACTCACTGTTGCCTCTTTTTTTTTACTGCAGTATAAAGCTTTGCACCTCTATAACCACAGCGAGAAGTAGACAGAACTCAAAAATGTCTTCAGAATCAGAAGAACTCTATAGATCCTTGAGGGGAAACTTCTTACATGACAGTCGCTCCCATTCAAAGTCTTAGAAATTAGCAGGAGAAAACATAAAATATAAACGTAAGTAGAAAAATATGTCCTAAAAATATAAACATAAATTGAATGACATAATCTTAAAAATGTACAATATACTGGGGAAATAAAATAGCAAGTATGCAATGTAATAAATGATAATAATAATAGAGTTATAATTGTATTATTACACATGGTATAGTTAAAAAAAAATTCCATATATATCTAAATTTTAATGCCCCTAAATCATTAAAAGAAAAAAAAAGGAAAAGCTAATGTCAGTGGTATTTCTTTGATTATTTATACAAAAAAATTTGAAAAAAACTGGAATAAATGTGTGCAGCATTTTTCCAGAAGCCCACAATATTAGAAAAACAGTGTCTCCACATACTATATATATTTCACTACTAACCCTCTAAGACATTTCCGATATTTCATAAATATTTGTCTCCGCTCTGTAAACGTGTGGACATCACATTTTGGGTTATATTACCACTGTTGTTAATTATTTCTTCTTCTTATTCTTCTTATTCTTCTTATTCTTATTCTTCTTATTCTTATTATTTTGTCACATATGTTTTTGATTTTTTTTTAAAGAAATTTTTATTTTCTTCACATTTATTTTTTTTTACTTCTTTTTGCTATTTGATCAGATAAAATAGCAAAGAGAAATTTAAAAAAAAGCAGATCAAACAAGAGCTCAGGTCTTAAGAGGTCAGGATAACGTTTTTTGTTCAAATTTCCCAGTTTTGGATCAGACTTGGCTCATTTTCCCAACAGAACCACGTGTCTCTTCAAATTCAAGGATTGTCTGAAGATTCTTTATTTTTTATTTTTTTACAGCCTCTTGTAACAATACACTGCAGATATTTTAGCAATACCTCGCCTTTTAAATGTGGTGGTGGGTTTTGGCGTAAGAACATGAAGCTAACCTGCTGATTTTTTGCTCTGTATATCATTTACCATACATCTTACGATGGCACATGGTTCGTCAGGAACACACACATTCATGCTGTGCACTCAGTGACAGTCAAACAAAGCGTCTCTCCATCGTGTTGCAGGTGAGATGTAACACGTACAGACCAGAAGCAGCCAGAGAGCAGATCCAGAGTGGAGCTCACAGTCCTCCTAAATACAGGTGAGCACCAACACAAACAAACCCACCTGCACACTTTGCCCTCTGAACACCCACCAGCCTCACCGTCGCCGTTTCCCCGCAGAGTCATCGGCGCCATGAGCAACTACGAGGAGTTCCGGAAGACGTTCGGCTGCTCCGCTTCGTCGGTGATGAACCGGGGAGCCCAGTCGTGCCGGGTGTGGTGACCTCCGACCTCAGCGCAACCAGCAGAACGTCTGCTGAGGACAAAAAAGGGGGCCGGTGATGCTGGACTTAGCCAACATAGTTTACATGATGAGGGAGCAAACGGAGCAGAGTTGTTCCCAGTGAAGCGTATTGTTCGGGTAAGAGTTTCTCAGACCCAGTTTTTTTAAAAATCGGCCAGCCGGCGTGTGACTTTCCTCGCAGGTTTATTCGCTGCACACGTTGCAGTTAAGACATAAATTATGACGTTTTTATAAAGGACCATAGTGTAAGGGTTAAAAACACACTTTTTACAGGCTGTTTTGAGTTGTATGTACTGTACATGTAGGTAGATAATGAATTTATATCACTGTAAATGAACCATAACGAGAACTTTTCTACTCATCTGGAAGATTTATTCCAGATCTTGTGGTAGGAAGCAGCTCATATATTCATTCTCAGCCCTGATTGTGAACACTGTAAACCAAAGACGAGTTATTTTTCTTCTCTTTTATGTCTCCGCGGAAAAAAAACCCAGCAAAATATCATCAATCTACTGGATTCGACTTCAAACTCGGTTGTGTTTGTGCCACTAAATCCGTTCCTGTTCCGCTTTGTTTCAATGCGAGTCTCGTGTCAGACATTTTTATTCATCCCGCCGCCGTCGCCGCCGCTCAGCCCGAAGGCAAACGAACTCGCAGAATCACAAACTACAGGATAAACTCATTTTTCTCGGCGTCACCGCTGCTCGCGCTCCGGCTCGTGTCGGCGTTTCATGAATAACGGGACAATGAATATTTAACACGTCAGCCAGAAAAAAAACTGAAAGGAAACATCTGCTGAAATGTTTATTGTGAGGATTTATTCACCGAAAATGTTCTTTTTTCCCCCAACATTTACACACAAACTCACTGCTAGAGTCACAATATTATAAAAACTGGCTGCTGTGTATTCAGGAGAATGAAGATTATCAGTAAAATATAATATAAATTAGCATTATTTTAAACTATCCATAGATTATTCTAATTTTATTTCACGTGCTGCTGACAGAACAGTAGCGCCCACCATTATTTAGCTGTTTCTTTCTCTTTTAGCCTTAAAAAAAATGTCCGAAAATGCATCAAAATTTCCCAGAAACCAAACTCATGTCTTCGAATCTCTAAAAAAAACCCCAAAGAGCCTCAAATTCCAACATAAAAGGGCATCCAGGCAGTAAGTTATATGATTTTTAAACCAAAAATAGCATTTTTTCTAGCGATCCATCAGTTCTTAGGATTAATTTAACAACCAAAGCCGGTTCAGTGTCACTTCCTTCATAATAAACATCCAACATTTAATATATTTATCATCGTCTGCTGGTGTTTTTTCTTAAAATATGTTATTTTTTTAACTTAATGTGATGACGTTTTGTTTTTTTTCTGCGTACATCTCTTCCGTTGTGAATGTGTATGCTGTGATCACGGTTCACTGGTTCTGTTTTTTTCCATTTCTGTCAGGTTCTAATAAAACTTTTGAGACATGACGCTGTGATTTCACTTTGCTCTGACTGATGAGGTGAGTTGGGGAGAAAATGATGGAGGCTGCTGATGGATGGATGGCAAACACACATGAAGAGATTGTGATCCGACAGCGTGTCCATTTATCGATTTCCCCCCGGATGCCGCGTACGGCATCACATCTCATGTGCCGCCAGTTCCCATGGCAACTTATCCTGCGTTACTGGAGCCTCTCGAACCCGTTGGCGTGTCTCCGTCGGTCTCGTGCGACTCGGAGGGGGGCAACGTTAACGACTTGTATCTGTGGCAACACCAGCCTCATCAATTCACACCAATTAGAGGAACGGTCCGAGGCCCGAGTCTATTATGGTCTGTGTGTGTGTGTGTGTGTGTGTGTGTGTGTGTTGATTAAGAGGCAACGCTAAGTGAGATGGATGATAATGAGCAGAGATGTGCTTTTACTGGATGTGTAAGCAACGTCAGGCATCAGGCCTCCGGCTCGTACTGTACGACCTCATCGATGGCAGCTTCTGTTGCTGACGTGCATCATCGATGGAACGACTGTTCAGTCGTTCTCTTGCCTCTTCCATCGAGACGGATCTAATGTTGAGTTTGTAGCTGACAGGCTAAGACGTGGCTTCAGTAGCTTTTCTCCATCCCCACCATCCTCACTCTCTGTATCAATACTTCAGCTTAACACACATTTAAATGCAGCTGTTTGATTAAATAATAATAAATAAGCTGGGCGTCCCTGTAGCTCACCTCGCTGAGCAGGCGACCCATGAACAGAAGCTATAGGTTGTGGGTTCGACTCCAGCTCATGAACCTTTGCTGCAGGTCTCGCCCCCTTTTCCTGCCTCTAAAATAAAGCCAGAAAGCCCCAAAAAATAAATTTAAAACAAACAAATAAGCCTGTACTACTTTTTTTTTTTTTATAGCAATGATCAAAAATTATTAGCTAATAATTTGTGGAAATTTGAATGAATGAATGAATGCTCTTTATTGTCATTATACAGTGTACAATGAGATTGGAGAGCTTCAATTTTCAGTGCAAGTAAAAAAACAAGAAAGCAATAAAGTGCAAAATTGCTCAGTTAAATACAAAGATAAAAAAAAAAAAGGATAAATATATAAAAAGAAATAAAAGATTTCTGAAATATTGTACGAGATGATGGATATATACATACAGGTTATGAATATTTATATACAGATAATGGATATATACATAGTACACATAGTGGAGGAGTCTTATGGAGGTAGAGAGGATGTTTTACATGTGAGAGTTCATGATGGAAACTGTTTCTCAGTCTGTTGGTCTTTGCTTTGGAGCATCTGTAGCGCCGACCAGAGAGCTGAACACTTAATATAGAGCTTAAAAATCCTTGTTTAATATAGTTTGAATGATGAAATAGTGAATTGAAGTTGTTTCTGTTCTATAAAATGTACAAAAGTGTATTTAAATGCATTTTAAGTCGTACTACATACCTGTCGCTATATTCTACTCAGTAGTTCAGACTTTGAATACCAACAAAACATTTTAATACACCGTATGTGTCATTACACGTGGGATTTACGGTCGTCCTCAAATGTGTTCGAAGGAGAAAAACTCACTGGAATAAGTTGAAATTGACAAAAGTAATAATAAATAAAAATTTTATGAAAATCATGATGTTGATATTGAATTGTGGTTCAACAGAAATATTTAAAAAATGAAAAATAATAATAATAAAAAAAGACTTCTGCACCTGTTGACAAGTATTCTGACCCACTGCTCATCAGCAAAGTGCTCTAATTTAACTTTTTTATTTTTATTTTTATTTTCAACCACAATTCAAAAGCAATGTCTTATTTCACTAAATTATAATTTAGCAAATTTTTGTTTATTATTACTTTTTTCAGTTTCTAGTTATTTTTGTCACTATTGTGAATTTTGCCTTTTCTTTAATGGAAGGTTATGAACACATTTGAGGACGACTGTAAATCCATTTAAAGTCGTACCTGTCGCTACATTCAGTACACTGTATGTTTCATTACACGTGTGATTTAGATCTAAGCTTTGTCCACCTATTATATC